GTAAGAGTCTCAAATTATAGCAGTAGTTTTCAGTGTATCAAGTAAGTATCTCAATGGGCTAGGGTTTTTTTTTTTTTTTTCTTTTTTCTTTTTTTTTTTTTTTCCTGTTTTTGCAGGTAGTCAGCATCAATTGTAATTTGTTCTTCAGTGACTATCAAATTGGTTAATTACGGAAGCAGTGACATCCATTAGATTGTAGAGGTGTAAATAATGAGTGTCAAATGTATAGGCAGCAGAAATCTGAAGACAAATTGTGCCTGTTTTTGTGAAGGGAGGTTCTTTTGACGGCTGCTATGAGATGGGGGCAGAGCAATTTTCTTGTACTTTCCAGATACCTCATTTTCCATAAACAAGGTGCTTAATTGTTTTATAAACAACTCAGAAGAGGTGTCTACCTCACTTGTATAGATTGTCAGTTTTTAATCTCTTGATTATGTAAGCAGGTTTTACATTTAAGAATTGGTTTCCATTCAAGCTGGGAACCACTTAGGGCAAACCTGCCTTCCATTCTATTCAAAGCAACTCCTCTTCTCAGAGATAGATGCATATTTGATCTGCCTCCTTTGGAAAGGCTCATCAGAAACTCTAAAGAATGTAACCCTTTGTGTATCACCTATCTGACCAGGAGGCTCCCTCCCCACTTGGAGTCTTCCTGCCTTTGCTTCATGTTGTCCCACCTTTCCAGACTGAACCAATGTGCTTCTTACATATATTGATTGATGTCTCACATCTCCCTAAAATGTATGAAACCAGGCTGTGCCCGACCACCCGGGGCACCTGTCGTCAGGACTTACTGAGGCTTCGTCCCAGGCATATTCTCAACCTTGGCAAAATAAGCTTCCTAAGTTAACAGAAACAAAATTGTTTTCTAAGTATAAAAGAAATATGTGCTTAGAGCAAAAAACTTACCTAGAAAAGTACCGAGGCCAGGATTCCACCACTTTTAATATTTGGTGATGTTAGAAACAAATGCTTGTTCCTTGGTGCTGAAAAGAACTAGCTCTCAGACAACTTTTCTCAGCAAGGCAATTTTACTTTCTGCAGAAAGGATGGTTGTCAGAAGGCTGATTGTCACCAGAGCACATTGAACAAAGAAAGCAGAGGTTTTTTGTCCTTGATGCATTGGGTCCTCACTGCTGTGTCCTGTCTGCACTGGCTGGAGCTGGACTGCACGATCTAGACTGACCTCAATTGGCTAAAAACTTAAAACTTTCCTAAATAGGTAAATGTGTGATGGATAACAAAGAAAGGAAGGGGATTGTTTACAGAAAACTAGAAGAAGAATAACATTTCCAAGTAAGGAAGAGACATAGACTGTAAGGTGGGAAATGCCCAGGCGTGTTTGAACATGTTTGAGCAGGCTATAGGCCAGAACAAATAGCTTGGCTGAAGTACAAGGACGTAGAATGTACTTCTTCCCTCACTGTATTTAACAGCTACATAGGGCTTAACAAAGAGTTATTAGCAGAAAGCAAGGAAGCTTGAAGGAAGTTAGTTTTTAATAGAGACTATTGTTTGTAACACTAATTATTTATTGTTCAACAAAAAGGGAAACTTCGAAGAGGAACTTTTTCTTTTCACAGGTGAACACATATGTCCACATAGAAATTATAATATGCATATTCTATTGTAAATTTCCATTTTTCAGTTGGCAGAATATCATGTACATGTCCCAATTAACAAATATGCTATAATATGTTTAATGGATGCAGGAGGTGTGAGTCTCCTGGCTCACATCTGCAATCACAGTGCTTCAGTAAGCCAAGGAGGGAGGATCACTTAAGGCCAGGAGTTTGACACTAGCCTGGGCAACACAGCAAAAACTCATCTCACCAGGCATAGTGGCTCAGGCCTGTAATCCTAACACTTTGGGAGGCTGAAGGAGGTGAATCACTTGAGGTGAGGAGTTTTAAACCAGCCTGGCCAACAGGGTGAAACCCTGTCCTTACTAAAAATTCAAAAAAAATTAGCCAGGTGTGGTGGTGGGCACCTGTAATCCCAGCTACTCAGGAGCCAGAAACGGGAGAATCACTTGAACGTTCCCTGGAGGCAGAGGTTGCAGTGAGCCAAGATTGCACCACTGTACTCCAGCCTGGATGACAGGGAGAATCTGCCTCAAAAAAAAAAAAAAAAAAAAAAGGAAAAGAAAAAGGAAAAGAAAGAAAATAAAAAATGAGCTGGGTGTGGTGGTGTGAGCCTGTAGTCCCAGCTACTCGGGAGATGGAGGCATGAGAATACCTTGAACCAGGAGGTGGAGGTTGCAGTGAGCTGAGATTGCGCCACTGCATTCCAGCCTGGGTGACATGGTGAGACTCTGTCTCAAAAATAAATAAATAAATATAACAACATAGAATATTTTGAAATCTTTTTCTTTTTTAATTTTAATTTTAATTTATTTATGTTTTTAAAGACAGGGTTTCACCATGTTGGTCAGGCTGGTCTTCAACTCCCAACCTCAGGTGATCCACCCGCCTTGGCCTCCAAAGTGCTTGGATTACAGGCGTAAGCCAACACTCCTGGCCCATATTTTTAAATCTTTCTTATTCTGCTTCACCCCTTCTCTGCCAGTGAAAATTTTCTGTGCTCTTCTGCAGAGAATGCCTGTTACTGATGCAGTCCAGGTCTTGATTGAAAGCTGAACCTTTCTGGATGTGACCTCGGTACCCTAGGTCATCTGAGTAGAAATGTTTTCTGAACAATTTTGTGTGAACGCATGCAGGCTGAAGATTTTATTAGTCTGCAAAAGGTTTTGATAGTGGAGAGACTATTTCTCTCTGGTTTTCCCTTATGATCGTGTGAGTTTAGTAGTTCACATCTCAAATTGTTGTATTAAACAAATGCACAATCTATGGGACCTTTTTAGGAAAAATGGCAAGCATCATTACCGGGCCTTCTTTGGGACCTACGTTCATTCTTGGAGGAATTCTTCGTGTGTCCAGTGCTCTTTGGTTTTAAAGGCAAGCCTCCGAGCCTTCCTTTCTCCTGGATGCTGTGGTGGTGGCCAGGCATGGCGTCCTCAGCCACTGCCTGGGAGCTGCTGCTTTCCTAGAGCCGGCCTGATGGTAGAGATGAGCTCTGTTTTCACGACGATGACGTGGGTGGTGTCTCCTCACAAGCATCTCTTAGGGAGTCTCAGCCTGTGGGACTGCGGGAGTGCCCGAGCTGCTCCGGCCCTTCTCTAATCTCGGCAGCCCGCCTCTCACTCAGGGGTTTCCATCTGTTAAGTCTCCACGTTTGTCTTTCTCCACCTCATTCACTTTCCTCTTAGTCTTTCTGCCCTCATGAACAGTCTTTGCAGGGTTCGGGTTTTCACACTGCTGGTGGGAATGCCTCCTGGCCTTGCTGCCTCCCTCTCCTAGAGTCTTCTTGTCCCTCGTGAGGCTCTGGTGTGTTGTGATTTAGGCAGCCATCTTGTAAGCATATGAGGAAATATCCATATACTCAGGGCAAATTAGAACCACTTGATTCTGTTTCCTCTTCAGCACAGATTGTGTGTGTGTGTGTGTGTGTGTGTGTGTGTGTGTGTGTGTGTGATCAGGGACTGACACTTGTATTTTTTTTTGGTGATGGGGATGAGACGAGAACTGAGAAGGAAGTATTAACTCCAAAGGAGCACATGTCCAAAGAAACACAGTCCTTCAGACTGACGGTGGCGGGGCTGCTGGGGACTGTTTCCCCGCCCTTTAACTTTGGGAGCGGCTGAGAGCAGCCCCAAGGTCACTGGATAATTAAGGCAAAGTCAAAGAGGAGACATTTCACAGATACCTCAGCCAGGCACCATGAGGCCTCTGTGGTCAAGAATGGAGAGAAGTTTGAGAAATTAGGAAAAAATATCAGTGTCAGCACACAACCCACTATGGAGAAGACAGTTCCTAGTGGTCAGATAGTTTACGAATGTGGGAAATGTGGCAGATATTTTATTCCAAAGGCAGACTTCCACCGACATCAGAAATGTCACACTGGTGAAAGGTCTTTTGAATGCAAAGAATGTGGAAAAGACTTCAGATATAATTCATTACTTATTCAGCATCAGATAATTCACACTGGCAAGAAACCATTTAAATGTAAAGAATGTGGAAAAGGTTTAAGTTCAGACCCAGCCTTGATTCAGCATCAGAGAATCCACACTGGAGAAAAGCCCTATGAATGTCAGGAGTGCGGCAAGGCCTTCAGTAGCAGCCCGGTCTTCCTCCAGCACCAGAAGTTCCACACTGGGGAGAAGCTCTACGAATGTAATGAATGTTGGAAAACTTTCAGTTGCAGCTCGAGTTTCACTGTCCATCAGCGAATGCACACTGGGGAGAAGCCGTATGAATGTAAAGAGTGTGGAAAACGATTAAGCTCAAACACAGCCTTGACTCAGCACCAGCGAATTCACACAGGGGAGAAGCCCTTTGAATGTAAGGAGTGTGGGAAGGCGTTCAATCAGAAAATAACCCTGGTTCAGCACCAGCCAGTTCACACTGGTGAGAAACCTTATGAGTGTAAAGTGTGTGGTAAAACCTTCAGCTGGTGTGGAAGATTCATTCTGCATCAGAAACTACACACTCAGAAGACACGTATCCAAGCATAGGGCTATCTATAGTTAGGCACACTGTCTCTCTCCTTTTTTCTCTTTTTTTTTTTTTTTTTTTTTTTTTTTTGAGACAGTGTCTTGCACTTTCGCCAGGCTGGAGTGCTGTGGCGCATTCTTGGCTCAGTGCAACTTTCGTCTCCTCTCCCAGGTTCAAGTGATTGCCCTTCCTCAGCCTCCTGAGTAGCTGGGACTGCAGGCTCGAACCATCATGCCTGGCTAATTTTTTGTATTTTAGTAGAGATCAGGTTTCACCATGTTGGCCAGGATGGTCTTGATCTGACCTTGTGATCCACCCACCTTGGCCTCCCAAAGTGCTGGGATTACGGGCGGGAGCCACCGTGCCCAGCTGTTTTCTCTTTACAGCTAGTGGTCGCCTAATGACCATGATTGTTTCTGACAGACTGGTCGTAACACGATTTGGTCGTAAGTTGAGTAGGCTATATGTACAGTACTGTGAAATGATGTTATAAAAATCTTTAAGTCATATTTTACCATAATTTTCTTTTTTATATATCATAATTTTCTTTGTTCATTTTATGCCATTTGTATCATCTCTACACCATTTTGTTTCTTATTTTTACATTCGTCAGGTTTAAGTAAAACACTGCACTACCAGTACAACTGGTTTAATATTTGCAAAACATACAAAGTTACAAAATACAGATGCATACAAAAATACAAAACACAGGTGTAAAAAATACCATAGAAAACATTTTCCCAATTGCAAAACATATCAAAATATATAAACATTTTATTGGCTGCTGGTGCTTGGCTGCAGATCATTGATGTCGTCACCTCAGGCAGCAGTTGGTGTTACCGGAGTTGGTTTTGTTCATAAACATGGTGAGCTTTGTCTGAATTGTATATTTCTTTCTTTCTTCATAAATTTCATGATATGGTTGAAGCACATCATGCGCCATCTGTTCAGTCCTTGCAAATCGTTCGATGTTTGGGTCCATTGCTTTGAAATGTATAAGAAGTTTATTCAGTAAAGATAATCCGTCTGATAATCCCTTAGTGGTAAACTTTCTTTCTGGCTTTTCCTCTTCTTTCTCTGCTTCTCTTCTTTCTTCTTCCATCACTCTTTCTTCTTACAGTTCAATTAGCTCTTCATTTGTAAGTTCTCGGGATTCTTTGTCTAGCAACTCTTTGACATCTTCCATTTCACACTCCAAAGAAAGGTCTTTAGCGAATTTTTCTATTTTTTCCCGAATCGTTTCAAGTTCATGTTCACTGTCAAATCTGTCAAAATCATTAACATAGCGCTTAACATGATTTTTCCAGATGCCATTCATGCACTGTGTCGTCACAGCCTCCCAGGCGGTAGCGATATTCTTGGTACACATCAAAATGTTGTAGTGTTTCCATAAATCTTGCAATGTTAGTTCTGAGTCAGCATCTATAGCAGGTATTGCTTGAGCGAAGGTAGTTTGGAGATAGTTGGCCTTTAATGCAGCAATCGAACCTTGCTCCATAGGCTGGAAGAGTGGAGTCGTGTTTGGCGGAAGAAAAACAAATTTTACATCTGGATGGAGATCGCCTAGATGCGGTGGGTGTCTAGGCGCATTATTGAGTAGCAATAAAATCTTGAAAGGAATATCTTTCTCCAAACAATATTCTCGAACTTGAGGAATAAAACAGTTCATAAACCAGTCTTCAAACAATCCTTGTGTCATCCATGCTTTACGTTGAGAACAAAAGTAGACGGGCAGTGTGTGCTTGTTTACATTCTTGACCACATGCGGTTGTCTGAGTGATAAATTAAGAACAGCTTCAGCTTAAACCCTGTGATGTTCCCGCCAAGCAGCAGAGTTAGCCTATCCTTAAATGCTTTAAATCCCGGCATGCTTTTGGCCTCTTTGTGAATATAAGTGCGTGCTGGCATCCATTTCCAAAGTAATCCAGTTTCATCAACATTAAAAATATGTTCTGCTAGATATCCCTCATCTGTAATTAATTCATCCAGACTATCAACAAACTTACGTGCTCCTTCCTCATCCGCACTCGCTGCTTCTCCAGTCACTCGAACACTATGCACTTGGAATCTTTTCTTGAATCTCTGGAACCAGCCAGTGCTTGCTACAAATTCTTGACTGTAATCTTCTCCGGCACGCTCCTTCAGAGTCTGAAATAGACTTCTGGCCTTCATCTGCACAGTAAAAAGACTTAATGGTGTCCATTTTTGAATTTGATCTTCCATCCAAATATATAGCAATTTCTCCATTTTGTGGATGGGCCCGCTTCGTTGCTTTGTTATAACTGTTGATCGCATGGGTGCAGAACCTTTCACAGCTTCACGAATTCTTTCTTTGTCTTTCAAAATCATAGACACAGTCGAGTGTGATAACTTCATATCACGTATGATCACATTCACTTTCTTTCCTCCTTTGTACTGCTTAATTACCTTCGTTTTCGTGTTGAGATTGATGGCCTTTATTTCCTTCTTGGCAGGCTGAGGCGTAGACAAAGACAATTTCCTCTTGGTAGACATCTTGGGAGGGGTTTGATGAAAAATATCCAAGATGCAAAACACAAATTGCTGTACGGAGTCTGGGATAACAGTTGAAACAGTGCACGCGGAGGTGGTAGTGCTGCCGGAAGCTGGTCCACACTGTCATACGCCCAGCTGGGCAACGTTTGCACTGCCAGATGCGGAGCAGTCATGGCTAGCGATTGTGGTCATAAAGTCGAATGGTCGTAAGGTTGCATAGGTCGTAAGTCGATCAGTACCTGTAGTTTCATGCTCTTTACCAGTGTCCCCACTGCCCTCCCTGGGTAGACGCGTGGCTTCCATCCTGAAATCTTCCTCAAGTTTTTTGAACCCGTTTCCCCAACATGAAGTCTCTTTATGATTAAAGAAGACAAAGCCGGGCGCGGTGGCTCGAGCCTGTAATCCCAGCACTTTGGGAGGCTGAGGCGGGTGGATCACGAGGTCAAGAGATGGAGGCCATCCCGGTCAACATGGTGAAACCCTGTCTCTACTAAAAATACAAAAAATTAGCTGGGCATGGTGGCACGTGCCTGTAATCCCAGCTACTCAGGAGGCTGAGGCAGGAGAATTGCCTGAACCCAGGAGGCGGAGGTTGCGGTGAGCCGAGATCGCGCCATTGCACTCCAGCCTGGGTAACAAGAGTGAAACTCCATCTCAAAAAAAAAAAAAAAAAAAAAAAGAAGACAAAAACAAAACAAAACAAAACCCAAACTCAGAAACATAAAAGGAAATGTAAGTTTCCAGATTTAAAGGATATGCTGGGTAGCCAGCAAGATGGATTCAGGGGAAACTTACATTAAGGAAAGTTGATGTGACTTGTGAAAACACCAAGTGTGAAGAAGAAGATCATGGAGAAAAAAATGAGACCCTAAAGAGTTTCTAGAGAAGGCAAACAAAAGATCAGAAATGAAAATGGCATCAGATTTCTCAACAGCAACCTTGAAAGTCAGATGACAGGCAATGTGTATGCCTTCAGACTTGTGATGGAAAATATTTTCCCCTGCAATTCTATGCTCTGAAGTCTAAGTATAGAGTGAAGGCATCTGAGACCCTTTAGATCTGAACCCTTTTTCTCCCGTGCATCCTCTCTCACATGTGCAACAGTACACAAGGAGTAAACCAGTCAATAAAAAGAGATATGTGGATACCCTATTACAGTCCATATATCAGAAGTCTCCTAAATTCGAAAACAGAGGGGTCTGTCCATGTGGAGCCATATGCATCACGGAAGACATTCCTAGCAGGGTGCAAAGTTCCAGAGACCTACCTCAGGTGCAGCGTCCACCCACCCAACTTACTCTGCAGTTTGTCTTCAGTAGTGAGTTGTAGTCTGCGCCTTTGCAAAAGTCAGGATGTATGCACTCTGAGCCAGGTGTAAGGCACCATTTGTCTTAAATATACTCTTCTCATTGCTCTTTCAAGTGACCTCAAAGCAGGAAGCTTTTCTTGCAACTGCATCTAGTTATTTTTTATGATCATGGAAGAACCTATCATTATTGCTGTTGTCTGTGGAAATGAGAGAATATGTAAATGTATTAGGTTTTGGCATCCCCTCCAGCTGCCAGCTAACCGTGCACTAGTTTCCTTATCTGTAAAATAAGGATGACAGTTAGTTTACCTCATAGATTTTTTTTGTGTGTGTGGTGGGGATTAAATGCATTAATACTTGTAGAACCCTTCAAACAGTAACTATATATAATAAAAGTATTACCTATTATTGGCTGGGCGTGGTGGCTCAGGCCTGTAATTCTAGCACTTTGGGAGGCTGGGGCAGGTGGATCATGAGGTCAGGAGATCAAGACTATCCTGGCTAATATGGTGAAACGCCATCTATACTAAAAATACAAAAAATGAGCTGGGTGTGGTGGTGCGCACCTGTAGTCCTGTACTCGGGAGGCTGAGGCAGGAGAATGGCTTGAACCCAGGAGGTGGAGGTTGCAGTGAGCTGAGATCGCACCAATGCACTCTAGCCTGGGTGACAAAGCAAAACTCCATCTCAAAAGAAGAGAGAAAAAATATTACCTATTATAATCCTATTGATAAGTTTTGGCTTATCAATATACAAGTGAAACAGTTACCACAGTCAAGATGATAAACAGCCACCACCCCAAAACTTTGCTTGTGCCCCTCCATAATCCCTTCCTCTTGGCCCTTCTCAGGCAACCACTGGTTACTTTCTGTCACATGGATTAATTTTCATTTATTTTTTGGTCTGGTGTCTTTCACTCGGCATAATTACTTTGAGATTCACACATGTTGTTGCATATATATAGTTCATTCTTTTATTGCTGAGTAGTATTCCACTGTATGGATGTGCCATAATTTGTTTATTCATTGACCTATTGAAGGCCATTTGGGTTGTTTCCAGTTTGGGGCTATTACAAATAAAGCTGCTATGAACATTTGTGTCCGTGTCTTTGTAAGAACATATGCTTTCATTTGTCTGGATACCAGGAGTGCAATGGATAGGTCATTCAGTAGATTAGCGTATATCAAACGTTTACACTTTTATTGCGTTTCTGTTTTTTAGAGGTGAGGTGGTTCTTGCTTTGTTGCCCAGACTGGACTCAAACCCCTGGGCTCAGGATATCCTGCCTCAGCCCTCCCGTCCCACTCTAAGTAGCTGGCACTACAGGTGTGCGCCACGATGCCCTATTTTACTTCTCGAGAATCTTCAAAACTGTTTTACCAAAGAGGTTGTGCCATTGTACATTTCCACTTGCATTGTATGAGGATTGTCCTTCCGATACATGAGTGCCTGCACTTGATGTCAGTTTTCAATATTTTAGCTATTCTAATTGTTAAATGCTATCCCATTGTGGGTTTAATTTGTATTTTTCTAATGAATAATGTGCTGCTTTGTGTTCCTGTTGTCCAGGCTGGAGTGCAGTGGCACCGACTTGGCTTACTGCAACCTCTGCCTCCCAGGTTCAGGTGATTCTCCCACCTCAGCCTCCTGAGTGGCTGGGATTACAGGTGTACGTCATGACAGTGTCTTTTAAAGAGCAGAAGACATGAGTAGGCATGAAATCCAAATTATCAATTTACTTTATTTATTTTTCAATAGAGATGGGGTCTCACTATGTTGCACAGGCTGGCTTCGAAGTCTTGGGCTCAAGCGAACCTCCTGCCTTGACCTCCCAAAGTGCTGGAGTTACAGGCGTGAGCCACTGTGCCTAGCCTGCTCTTTTAATGGATCATGGTTTCAGTGTCAAATCTAAGACATTTTACTTACCCAAATTTGCAATGTTTTTTTCCTGTTTTCCTTTTAGAAGTTTTATAGTTTTTGTTTGTTTTGTTTTGTTTTTTGTTTTTTGAGATGGAGTTTCACTCTTGTTACCCAGGCTGGAGTGCAATGGCGCCATCTCGGCTCACCTCAACATCCGCCTCCTGGGTTCAGGCAATTCTCCTGCCTCAGCCTTCTGAGTAGCTGGCATTACAGGCACGTACCACCATGCCCAGCTGATTTTCTGTATTTTTAGTAGAGACGGGGTTTCACCATGTTGACCAGGATGGTCTCAATCTCTTGACCTCGTGATCCACCCGCCTCGGCCTCCCAGAGTGCTGGGATTACAGGCGTGAGCCACTACGCCCAGCCTGTTTTTTTTTTGTTTTTTTGTTTTTTTGTTTTTTTTTTCTAACAGAGTCTCACTCCATTGCCCAGGCTTGAGTGCAGTGGTGCAATATAGTGCAACTCTGGAGGTTGCTCACTGCAACCTCTACCTCTCAGTTTCAAGTGATTCTCCTGCCTCAGCCTCCTCAGTAGCTGGGATGACAGGATGGTCTCGATCTCTTGACCTCATGATCCACCAGCCTCGGCCTCCCAAAGTGCTGGGATTACAGGCTTGAGCCACCGCGCCCGGCCATTTTTTCTTTTTTAAGAGATGGGGCTCACTATGTTGCTGAAGTGCATTGCTATTCACCGGCATGATTACAGTGTACTGTACCCTTGAATTCCTGATCTCAAGTGATCCTCCTGCCTCAGCCTCCTGAGTAGCTGGCACTACATGTCTGTGCCACTGATGTCTGGCCTATAACACCATTTTTTGAAATAGTTATTCCACCAAATTGCCTTTGTATCATTGTTGTGAATGAGATGTCCATATATATGTGGGTCTATTTCTAGATTCTCTTCTGTTCCATTGATCTGTATGTCTGTCTTGATGCCTTTAAGGCACTGCCCTAATTACTGCAGTTATCTAATAAGGGTTGAAGTCATACAGTGTTAGCTCTCCAACTTTGTTCTTTGTCAGAGTGCTTTGGCCATTAGAGGTCTTTTGCATTTCCATATGAACTTTAGAATCAGTTTTTCCATTTCTACAAAACACCTCCAGGGATGTTTTTGTTTTGTTTTTGTTTTGTTTTGAGTCGCTCTGTTGCCAGGTTGGAGTGCAGTGGCACCGTCTCAGCTCAGTACAACCTCTGCCTCCTGGGTCAAGCGATTCTCCTGCCTCAGCCTCCCAAGTAGCTGGAATTACAGGCGCATGCCACCACAGCAGGCGAATTTTTTTATTTTTAGTAGAGACAGGGTTTCACCATGTTGGCCAAGATGGCCTCAAATCTCTTGACCTCATAATCCACCTACCTTGGCCTCCCAAAGTGCTGGGATTACAGCTGTGAGCTACTGTACCCAGCAACCTCCTGGAGTTTGATTGGGCTTGCATGAATATAAAGATTGATTTCTGGAGCATTGACAACTAGTGTTTTGACCCATGGACATGGTAGATCTCCCCACTTATTTAGATACTTAGTAATTTCTCTCAGCAATGTTTTGTAATTTTTACTGTGCAGATCTTTCACACTTTTCCTCAGATGCATCTAAAAATTTCGTATTTTTGATGCCATAGTTAATAATTTATACTTGTAGTAATAAACAGTACATGTCCGGTTCTTTGCTGACATATAAAAACGTAATTGGTGGCAGGGCGAGGTGGCTCACACCTGTAATCCCAGCACTTTGGGAGGCCGTGGTGGCTGGAACACGAGGTCAGGAGTTCGAGACTAACCTGACCAACATGCTGAAACCCCATCTCTACCGAAAATACAGAAATTAGACCATAAGAGATTGTCTAGATCTTTATTTGTGGAGATATGAGACATACACATTTCAACCAGTGTTAACATTTAAGTTATTTAAGTGCCAATTACTGAGCAGAAAAATAGCTCTAACCACGAATTTGTGTGATTGGAAAAAGCTCAATATGAGGCATTTAGGGTGTCCTGCCAAAGTCAGGACAAGATCATTTAACACAGGACATGTCCTGTGTATAGAGGATGCCTGCAGCCACCGGTGTTCTGGTTGCTGAATCAATGTGTCCTAAAAGGCTCCACACACATCTGGGTCCTTGGAAGGGAGAGGGCTGAAAGGGCGAGTGGAAACCCCGGTTTCCCTGGGGACGGCGCCGCTGAGGTCCCGAGCAGGATCCCGGGCCTGGGCCTCCTCGAGATGACACGGTAGGCGCCGTTCTCCCGCCACCCCCAGCGCCCAGGCTCCAGGTGAGCCGCGGGGTGAAGGCGGCCGAAGCTGAGGGTCAGCCCGGGAACTGGGGCCCCACTCGTGCGGAGAGGCCGAGGTCTGGGCAGAGCCAGGCGGCAGCGGCCGGTGACACGCCCCAGGCGGCCGGGCCGAGAGCGCCGCAATTCCGCGCGCCCCGCGCGCAACGCTCGGCCCCGCGCAACGCTCGGCCCCGCGGTCGCCAAACCTGGTCTCTTCCGCAGGGCGGGGCCTGCCGCGGGGCGACCGAGACGGCGGCCTCCGGGGGCCTAGAGCGGCCTGGGACGGCGGCTGGGGGGTGGGGAATGGGAGGTCGGGGGGGCGCGCTCTTCCGGCCCGGTATTCCGTTAGCTGGCAGGTCCGGTGTTCAGCAGAGCGAGGGTTTCAGCCGGTTCACGTGCCAGGTCCGCGCGGCGCCGGCCTCCTCGCCGTCCCCCGGCCCCCGAACGTGGCCTCAATGGCGGCCCGCCCCTCCTTCCTCCGCACCGTGGGCATCCGCGCCTCGCCGAGGCCGCCCAGGTGTCTGCGCGGGCTTCCAGAGCCCGGGTCCAGCCATTCGCCGCCGAGGCCTGCGCCTCTTTTCTGCCCTAAGGAACTTGTCCCGACAGTCTCTCGCTCCCGGTACTGACGTCTCTGATGTTTGGGGTCGCCTGCTTTCTTGGGGGACCTGTTACGATCCCGTGGGGTGGGGTCTCCGGGCGGCAGCACCTCCTGGGACGCCGAGTCCTTCACCCTCGTCCGCATTCGGCCGCCCGGTCTGTCCTCGGAGGCCGGTTCGGGGACCGTCAGCGTCCGTGTCAACGTTCCGCGGAGACGCTGCGTCTGCGGCCCGACCCCGTCGGCAGGGGGCTCTGCTCGGGGCCCTCGAAGCTCCTGGGACGGCGCCGGCCGTGGAAGGGCGCCCCGGGGAACAGGCAGGACAGTCCTGAGAAGGTTGGGGTGCTCGGCGTGAGAACAAGCAGAGGGAGCCCGAGCACGATCTCCGTGCGCCCAGCGCCGCGCAGGTGGAAGCCGGGAGGGCCACGGGTGCGCTACCTGCGCTGCGCGGGTCCTTGGCACTCACGGCTCTTTCTGTCTTAGCTCCTGAGGATCTTGCTTGTCCGAACCCAGAAGACAGTGCACGAAGCCGGGGGAGATCGCCATGCTCCAAACAACTTGGCCTCAGGTGAGCTGAGCTGCTTTCCTTTTTTTTTTTTTTTTTTTAACTCACATTATCTGTCAGATAACAGGAAAGGATGAGGAAGGCCTCACTTGGCTCGGCTATGTTTTCTTCTTTGTATCCATCCCTAGTGCTATGGCAGGTGGAAATACGTGCTGGGGGAATTAAGTTTTGTGTGTAGAGAGTGGTGAGTTTGGATGTATAGATTTAAATGGAAGAAAGGGGACCCATGCCAAGAAATTCTTTGTGAATGTGGAAGTCCAGATCATGTTCTGGAAACGAGAGTCACCTGCTGAAATTGGATTTTTTTTTTTTTTTTTTTTTTTTTGAGAGAGCGTCTTGCTCTGTTGCCCAGGCTGGGGTGCAGTAGCATTATGATCTTCGCTCACTGACTGTAGCCTCTACCTCCCGGGTTCAAATGATTCTCATGCCTCAGCCTCCTGAGTAGCTGAGTAGGTGTGTGCTGCCAGGCACGGCTGATTTTTGTATTTTTAGAGACAGGGTTTACCCCATGTTGGCCAGGCTGGTCTCAAACTCCTGAGTTAAGGTAATCCACTGACTTCAGGCTTCCAAAGTGCTGGGATTACAGGCATGAGCCTCTGCTCCAGGCCTGAAATAAGAAATTCTTTATTGGAGAGGTTGCTCCACAAATGTGTCCCAGAGAGACTAGTGTTGTTATTTTAATCTACATTTTGTAAACGCAGACGCAAGGACTCTGACGTTGGAGAGAAAGCTGGATGTTCTCTACTAACAGGAAGGGGTCAGAGAAAGTGGTTCGATATGAGATGGAAGAAGTAGATAACGGTTTTACAGGTCTCGGTGAGGACAGTGGTTTCTGTTCTGGTTCACTGGGAAGGCATTGAAGAATTTTAAGCAGGGGGATGATGTGGTTGGATTTCTATATTAAAAAGGTGTTTTCCAGCCTTTAGTGGCAAATTGGCTGTAGCAAGGTGTGGATCAATTAAGAGGATATTGCAGTCAGGTAAGATGTTAAGTGTTGTCCATTTTAAAATTTAATTAATTTATTTACACTTTTTATTTTCTAGAGCAGTTTTAGGCTCACAGCAAAATTAAAAGGAAGGTGCAGAGATTTTCCATGTATTCCCTGCCCCTACACATGCAAATTCAAGTTCTGATAGAAGTTCAAATACAAGTCTGGTATCAGCCCAGTACCATGTTAAAGTCTTTAAAAGAATAGAAATGCTTTTTTTCTTTCTTTATTCTCTGATGTGCCCTAAGTAGCCTATGAGGTTTGATTGAGAAATAACTTACCCCTGAAACAATGTAACACTGGTACTTAAAACAGTTCATTTTTTAGAGCAGTTTTAGATGCTAACAAAATTGGGCAGAGAGTAGAGTTCCTCCGTATCTTCTGCCACCCCAAAACACACAACCTCCTTCATCATTAACACTCCACAGCAGAGAAACACGCTTGTTACGGGGAATGAACCTATGCTGACACATGATTGTCATCCAATGTCAATAGTTGACTTTAGGGTTCACTCTTGATGGGTGACATGTATCCACCAGTATATTATGATGCAGAATAGCCTCACTGCCCTACAAATCCCTTATGCTCTTCTTATCCCTCCTTACTTGCCCCTTCGTCCCATCCTAGGTGACAACCATCAGTTGATGTTTGCACTCTCTCCATAGTTTTGACATTTCCAGAATGTCATACAGCTGGAATTACACAGTTATGCAGCATTTTCAGATTGGCTTCTTTCACTTAGTGATAATGCATTTCGTTTCCTCTATGTCATGGCTTGGCCGATCATTTTGTTTTAGTGCTGAATAATATTCCATTGTCTGTGTATGTTATAGTTTATCCATTCACCTACTGAAGGATATCTTGGTTGCTTCCAAGTTTTGGCAATAATGAATAAAGCCCCTATAAATGTCCACGTGCAGGTTTTTGGGTGGACATAAGTTTTCAGCTCCTTTAGTTAAGTACCGAGGAGCCATGAATGCTGGTTGTATGGTAAGAGTATGTTTAGTTTGTATGAAATGGACAAACTGTCTTCCAAAGTGACTGTCCCATTTTGCATTCATTCATTCCTACCAGCAACGAATGGGAGTTCGTATTTGGTTCACATCCTGGCCAGTGTTTTGGATTTTGGCCTTTCTAATAGGTGTGTAGTGGTGTCTCATTGTTTTTATTCCCTAAGGACGTATGATCTGGAGCATCGTTTCATATGCCTATTTGCTATCTGTATATTTGCTTTGTTGAGGTGTCTGTAGAGGTCTTTTGCCTGTTTTTTATTCGGCTTGTTCATAAAGCGTTCTTTGTATATTTCAGATAATATTGCTTTATCAGATATGTCTCCTGCAAATACTTTCTCCCAGATGTTAGCCTGTCTTCTATTTTCTTAATGTATTATCCTTTTAAAATACAGCCTAATTTGCCCTCATTTTTTTTGTTTCAATTTTTTGCCCCAAAGCATTGTTAGCTAGTTTTTCACACACACTTTTTTAGATTTTTAGATGACTTTAAATGATCTCCCACTCCTGCACACATTTCATGGATATTTTTGGTAGGAGAGTGGATTTTATTGAATTCACGGGTAAATTTGGAGATAACTGACTTTGTTACAAGTTTGAGTCTTCCCATCCAGAAGCACTTTATGTTCCCATTTATTCAGTTCTTTTTAAATGTATCTTAGTGAACATTTAATGTTCTTCCATCATTTTCTCACTGATTTCTCTTTGGTCCATTGTTAGCAATTTTTTGTGTGAATGGCATCATGGTTCCTTTCAGTGTATTTTCCAGTTGTTTATGATGGTACTTAGGAAAGCTAAAAATTCTGTTTTACTTATTCTGTATCTAGATAACTTAGTGAATTGTTTTATCAGCTCTAAATGTTTTGAGTTTATTTTCATGGTTCTTAGATATCTTTAGGTAGGTAGTTATTTCATCTGCAAGCAAAGATATTTATGTTCATTTCCTTCCTGTATTTATGTTCCTTTTCCCATCTTTTGTAAAAGTAGAGCCTCACCTTATGGCAGATTGTCAACTATCAACTTTAATGGATTTGCTCTGGTATTTTACTGTTTAGGTGGTGTTTGCTGTTGGTTTCTTACTCTCTTCATAAGTTAAAAAAAAAAATTCTGTTTATGGTTAAACCATTTTTGATATCAGTTCTTTAAGGAAATGTATCTTAAGCATCTAGTACATATCAGGCACTGTACTGTGTGCTAAACCAATCATGAGCAAACAGTTCTTGCCCCACGGAGTTGCACTCTGGTTGGGGGAGATAGATAGTAAACCACATCATGTAACGTGATGAATAACACTGTGGAGAAAAAGAAGACAAGGCGAGGTACATTGTGACCAACCACAGGAGGAACAAAAAAGATATCCCAAACCCAGCTGCCTTCAAACAAGGTTTTTTCTTATTGATATTAGGCACTTTCTAGGGCTCATGAAACTTGAGGATAGTAGACGGCAGGAGAGACAGACAATTTATGGAAGAAGAGCTGATGGATGTGGGCTGCTTCAGGGCCGTGAGGAGTCAGAATGTAGAATGTGACATGCAAGAGTTAGGAGCTTGGCGATGCCCCTGTGGTAGGTATTTTCATTTTCAGCTTCTGCAGAGAACAAATCTGACTGCACGGGGTAATGAGACTCTCCTGGGAGGTGGAGTTATCAGTGGGAGCATCAAGATGAGAAGGCATACAGTTCATGAGACCGCCTCCAAGCTGAGAGCCTAGTCTCCGTAGTGTGCCCTATGCTGACTCTAGAAGCAGAGAAAGGCTGGGTGCAGTGGCTCAAGGCCTGTAATCCCAGGACTTTGGCATCCACTTTCGGATGGATCACCTGAGGTCAGGAGATCGCGACCAGCCTGGCCAACATGGTGAAACCCCGTCTCTACGAAAAATACAAAAATTAGCCTGGCGTGGTGGTGTGTGTAAGATTTATTGCCGATGTAAAATGAGGAAACTGAGGCAAGTATGAGCAAATGAGAAGCTAATTTATTCAGCTCCTGGGCGAGGTTCTGTGGTCCAGGAAGGGGTCAACGAAGTCGAGCCCGGCTGTTTATGTCTTCTGTTTTGTTTTGTTTTGTTTTGTTTTGTTTTGTTTTGTTTTTGAGACGGAGTTTTGCTCTTGTTACCCAGGCTGGGGTGTAATGGCGTGATCTCGGCTCACCACAACCTCCGCCTCCTGGGTTCAGGCAATTCTCCTGCCTCAGCCTCCTGAGTAGATGGGACTACAGGCACGCACCACCATGCCCAGCTAATTTTTTGTATTTTTTAGTAGAGACGGGGTTTCACCATGTTGACCAGGATGGTCTCGAACTCTTGACCTCGTGATCCACCGGCCTCGGCCTCCCAAAGTGCTGGGATTACAGGCTTGAGCCACCGCGCCGGGCTATGTCATGGGGTTTTATCGGGAGGGAAGGGGCTTGATTGGCTATTGGGGAAACAAACAAAGGCAATTTTATTGGCTATCAGGAAGCAGGAAGTACCTCAAACTAGTTGTCATTGGTAGGCGGGCAGGACATTGGGTAAGTGGGCGTTGATTGGGTGTTGGGGAAACAAAGTGAAGGCAGTCTTATTGGCTATTAAGAAGCAGGAAATGCCTGGAGCTAGTGGTCATGGGTAGGCGGCTGGGACCTTTGGTTAGTGGGCCTTCCAGCGGCATACAGAGCAGACTGCTACTGGGTAGGGTCTGATGGGTCTTCCTTAAAAAATTTTCCTGCAGCGTTTATCAACAGCAGGCTGAGGGTTGAATGCATAATTTAGTGCTGAATGTGCGCTTGGGTCTGGTATGTGGAGGTGGGTGTGGGAAGCCATGCAGTGAGGCCAGATAATGGGCTTGGGTCTTGGATGGTGACGCGGTTATCAGGAGCGGAGAGGGATGTGTGCGTTCAACCCTCTATGAGGCAGCCAGTCTTATAGTGTGTGCCTCTTATCCCAGCTTGAACTTGGGAGGCAGAGGTTGCAGTGAGCTAAGATTGTACCACTGCACTCCAGGCTGCCTGGGTGACAGAGCAAGACTCCATCTCGAAAAAATAAAAAATTAAATAACCAACCTGAAAGCCTGGTGCATAGGGCTAATCTACAAGCATAGTTGTCTTCATTCTTGGGAAGATAGAGGTGGCCCAGGGGAGGGAGTCAGAGAGAGGAACGCCTAGTGAAGAGACAGCCGTGGTAGATGGGCTGGGGCTCACAAAACTGGGGAACAGGTCTGTGCCCAGGAACTTGGCACTGCCAGCCTATCTTTGAAGACTGATGGTTCAGAGAAGAGGGTCAAAACAGGATGACTAAAGGTTTCTTTCAAGAGAGCCAGCTTTCTGATAGGCAGAAAGGTGGAAAAGAGAAATTTGTATATTTCTAACATGCTCCTCTGCACATAGTGGACAATGTTGGGGGAGAACCAAAAAGATGCCAGGTCCAGGGAGCAGACGGGGCTGTGTGTGTGTGCCTCGGATGCGTGGATACAGGGTGGATTAGTCCATTTTCATGCCGCTGATAAAGATATACCCGAGAGTGGGAAGAAAAAGAGATTTAATTGTACTTATAGCTTCACATGGTTGGGGAGGCCTCAGAATCATGCCTGGAGGCCACAGGCCTTTCTCACATGGTGGCAGCAAGGGAAAAATGAAAGCTCATGCAGGAGAACTCTCTTTTTAAAACCATCAGATCTCATGAGACTTATTCACTATCACGAAAACACCATGGAAAAGACTTGCCCCCATGATCCAGTGACCTCCCACCAGGTGCCTCCCACAACACGTAGGAATTCTAGATGAGGTGTGGGTGGGGACACAGCCAAACCATATCACAGGGTGAGTCGCAGCTGTCAGTAGTGGTTGGGGTATAGAAAATAAGGAGACAGGAGTATGGAGTACATGAGGGTAGGAGGTGCCAGGGATCAGATCTGTGAAGCCAGGAACCCGGGAGCTGATGCAGATGCCAGGGAGAAAGCACCTGGATGCCAGGCTATAAGAAGCAGTAGCAGTTAGGGGCTCCAGAGCCGAGCAGATGAGAGAGCACTGAGGCTCCCATGTGCAAGTGGAACTGCCGGCTGAGGGCTCGCCCTGTCTGTGTGCCGGCTGCTCTTGTTTGAGAGGCTGCACCTCTGGGGCCGCTCCGTGGGCTGAGTTCCACGTGGACTCAGGCAGGTTTATCTCTTCCCTGAAGCTCAGGCTGCTCCCTTCTCCCTTCTGCTTCTCACACAGAGACTGAGCAGAAACCTGTGGTTTCAGGAGTCAGTGGCCTTTGAGGACGTGGCTGTGTACTTCACCCAGAACCAATGGACCAGCCTCGACCCTGCGCAGAGGGCCCTGTACAGGGAGGTGATGCTGGAGAATTATGCCAATGTGGCTTCCCTGGGTAAGGCCTCCCTCTGTGGCCGGCTGTAACAGTTTGCTATCTTTCTCAGATGTTTTGGGGATTGTGGTAGCCCTAGGGTTTGATGACTTCGGAGGAGAGTTTTGCAATCACCAGCCTCCAGAAGTACTGGTAGGGAATTTCTTGCTTCTCCTTTTTTTTTTCCTTCTTTTTTTTGAGACAAGTCTCGCTGTCACCTTGGATGGAGGAGAGTGGCACAGCCGTGGCTCACTGCGGCCTCAAACTCCTGGGGCTCAAGCAGTTCTCCTGCCTCGTCCCCCCAAGTAGCTGGGACTATAGGCGTGTGCCACTGTGCCTGGTTTCTTTTTGGTTTTGAAAACTAGACTTCCTTATACTCCAGGGAACAGTGTGGTTCTGGGTCCTGAGGGAACGTGTTCTTTTTTTTTTTTTTTTTTTTTTTTAAGGTAGAGTTTCGCTCGTTTCCCAGGCTGGAGTGCAATGAATGGCGTGATGTCGGCTCACTGCAACCTCCTTCTCAGGGGTTCGGGCAATTTTCCTGCCTCAGCCTCACGTGTAGCTGGGATTACAGGCATGTGCCACCACACCTGGCTAATTTTTTGTATTTTTAATAGAGATGCGCTTTCTCCATGTTGGTCAGGCTGGTCTTGAACCCCAGCCTCAGGTGATCCGCCTGCCTTGGCCTCCGAAAGTGCTGGGATTACAGGCGTGAGCCACTGCACCTGGTCGGGAAAGCATTCTGTCTGGCACCCTAGGTAAGCCCTTTGTTCCTTCATCCATCCTGTTTTCTGGCGATGTTGGCCTTCCGTTTGTGGAAGAGTCTCCCCAGGGAGCAGCACGTACCTCATTCCTGACGGAGTTTCCCTTCTTCTGAGTCAGGGCCAGCTTGTAGCTTCTTTCGGAGGAGAATCGTACCTCCTCGGCTTAATTGTGGAGCACAGTCTGGACCTCCCTGTGGAACTCTCACTTGGTCTGTGGTGGTCCATTTCTCTCCCAGGTGGCCTGACGGAGGGTGGGCTGAGAGAGATCCCAGGAGCAGCTCTAGATGTCTCCCCTCAATTTGTCTTTCTCTTTTTCTTCCTGAAGTCGCGTTTCCATTCCCCAAACCTGCTCTGATCTCCCACCTGGAGAATGGGGAAGCACCATGGGGACCAGATCCCTGGGATGCCGAGATTCCGAGCGGCATCAGTCAGGGTGAGTGTGAGAATCCAGGGCTGCAGTTTCTTGCTTTGCCTCCCTGCTTTACCAGAAGAAGCGTTCTGTCTGCCTCCGGGAACAGGGCTCCCAGTCATTTACAAGTCGATGCTCACTGCACTCTGACCTGACGCTGAATTCTGATTCTGAGCTTTGAAAGACCACCTGTAGGAGTCCATGGCCTCATGTCATCTGCACATTCATGTGGCTGTCCTCCCAGGCAGAAAAACTGACCCCGTAGCTCCTAAACCACTTCTTTCTTACTTAGCAATGGAAAAGTTCTATTTGTATGCCACTGTTCATTGCAAAGAAGTGGGGTTTCAGGCAGCTTTAAAGAAAATATGATTTTGGGGGCCCAACTGATTTATTTGTGCTATGGCTGTGAATTTTACTTCAGGCCTTCAGCCCTGAAAAGACTGGCTTTAATTTGCCTTGTTAGTATCTGAATCACTTAAGAGTATCAGGTGGGACTGTAGAGGAAAGGGCTAGGAATATTCTCCCATCATATCCCCCTACACAAACACACACATACACACACACACACACACACACACACACACGCGGAACCGGCTAGGAATATTCTCCCATCATAACCCTGTACACACACACACACACACACACACGTCAGGCTAGGAATATTCTTTCATAGCCCACTACACACACACACACACACACGTCAAGGGCTAGGAATATTCTTCCATCATAGCCCCATACACGCACACACACACCTGTGCAAACACCACCTAAAATATCCCTGAGATGGCTAACCAGCCCTGGAAGGTTTTGGTTACTTCCGTTTTCTTTCTTTTCAGAGGAGAGTTTTCAAGCCTTGTCACACATACATGCTTTTGTATTCAGTGGTTCCTTTAGCACTGGTACCACAGTGGCTTACTGTTCTGATCCAACTTCTGTTACAGCTGACTTTCTGAAAGTCATCATCTTTTTTTTTTTTTTTTTGAGACGGAGTTTCCCTTTTGTCACCCAGGCTGGAGTGCAATGTTGTGATCTTGGCTCACCACAAACTCTGCCTCCGGATTCAAGCGATTCTCGTGTCTCAGCCTCCCAAGTAGCTGGGATTACAGGCATGCACCACCATGCCCAACTAATTTTTTTTGTATTTTTAGTATAGATGGGGTTTCACCATGTGGCTCGGGCTGGTCTTGAACTCCCGACCTCAGGTGATTTGCCCGCCTCAGCCTCCCAAAGTGTTGGGATTACAGGCGTGAGCCACTGTGCCCAGCAGTAATCATCTTGTATCTCAGAATATTGTGTGGGATATATAAATCTAGGCTAATTAGAACATCGTTTAGAATCTGATGTGATTTCCTGGGTTACAGGTAGAGGATTGGGATCGATTTTTTCCTGGTTTGTGTTTCTCTACAAGGCCTCTTGTAGTGCTGGACCTTTTTCTCTGTTCTCCCCAGTCCCTCATTCCTTTTTCCTCTTCTGGGTTTCTGTCCCTCATGTTCCCATTTCTTGCTGTTCTTTCTTACTCTCTTCTCTTTTTTTCCCCTCATGCCTTCTTTCCTTCCCATTCTTGATTCTCATTGGGAGCACTTCCTGGCTGTCTTTCCTGTTCTGTTTTGTGTCTTTACCTCTCCAATTGTATGTCATTATTTTTCTGGGGGTTTTTTTTGAGACAGGATCTGGCTCTACTGCCCAGGCTGGAGTGCAGTGGCATGATGTGCACTCACTTCAACCTCTGCCTCCTGGGCCCAAGTGATCCTCCCGCCTCAGCCTCCCAAGTAGTTAGGACCACAGGTGTGCGCCACCATGCTCGGCTACGTTTTGTATTTTTTGTAGAGGCAGTGTTTCACCACATTGCCCAGGCTGGTCTTGAACTCCTGAGCTCACCTGCCAGCCTCAGGCTCCCAGAGTGCTGGCGTTGCAGGTGTGAGCCACCACACCTGGCATGCTGTTCTTTTTCTTTGTCTGTCTCATTCTCCTTTAAAGATGCTTGTGTATAACCATGTCACATGGATATCTGTAACAGTTGTCTTCTACAAGAGACAATTAGGACCACTGGATTCTACTTTTCTTCCAGTTTTGTAACTAGGGACACTTGTGGTTTCTTTGGTCAGGTGGTGAGTCCTGCATCAAAAATGAAGGGCCAGTTATAAAGCAGGAAGCCTCTGAAGAAACAGAGTTGCACAGAATGCCAGTGGGAGGACTTCTCAGGAACGTTTCTCAGCACTTTGATTTTAAAAGTAAGGCCATGAAGCAGACTTTCAGTCTAAATCCAAATCTGATACTTCGAGGTGGAATGAAGTTCTATGAATGTAAAGAGTGTGGGAAAATCTTCCGATACAACTCAAAGCTTATTCGACATCAGATGAGTCATACTGGGGAAAAGCCCTTTAAGTGTAAGGAATGTGGCAAAGCTTTTAAGTCCAGCTACGACTGTATTGTACATGAGAAAAACCACATTGGAGAAGGGCCCTATGAATGTAAGGAGTGCGGCAAAGGTTTGAGTTCCAGCACAGCGTTGACTCAGCATCAGAGGATCCACACTGGAGAGAAACCCTATGAATGTAAAGAGTGTGGAAAGGCCTTCAGGAGGAGCGCGGCGTACCTTCAGCATCAGAGATTACACACGGGGGAGAAACTCTATAAATGTAAGGAATGCTGGAAAGCTTTTGGTTGTAGGTCACTTTTTATTGTCCATCAGAGAATTCATACTGGGGAGAAACCTTACCAATGTAAGGAGTGTGGCAAAGCCTTCACTCAGAAAATAGCCTCCATTCAGCATCAGAGAGTGCACACTGGGGAGAAGCCTTATGAATGTAAGATGTGTGGGAAAGCCTTCAAATGGTATGGAAGTTTTGTTCAGCATCAGAAATTGCACCCTGTAGAGAAGAAGCCGGTCAAGGTTCTCAGGCCATCCCTGGTCGGGCCCCAGTGCCCCTCTTCGGCCTTACCTCCTGCTCTTCTCCAGGGCTCCCACGCTGCTCCAGCCGTGGCTGTGCCTTCGCTGACCTTCCCACATGCTGTGCTCCTTCCTCCCTCTGGGAATTTGTTCATGCTGCTGCCTACATCTGGAATACCTTCTTCATCTGCCCAAATAGTACGTGTCTTCCCGGGTCTCACTCCCACTGTGAAACCCCCCCCAGTTGTTCTCAGCCCCTCTTCTCACTCCTTATGAGCTTTACCTTGGCAGCCTTATGGCTCTTAGCCTAGCAAATCTCCATCCTAATTTTATTTTGTTTTTGAGACAGGGTCTCGCTCTGTCTCCCAGGCTGGAGTGTGGTGGTGGGATCTTGGCTCACTGCAACCTTGACCTCCTGGGTTCAAGTGAGTCTCCTGCCTCAGACTCCCGAGTAGCTGGGATTGCAGGCATGCATCACCATGCCTGGCTCATTTTCGTATTTTTGGAAGACACGGGGTATCACTGTGTTGACCAGGCTGGTCTCAAACACCTGACCTAAGTGATCCGCTTGCCTTGGCTTCCAAATTGTCGGGATTACGGGAGTGAGTCACCGTGCCCAGCCTCCAACCTAATTTGAATTCCATTTGTATTTTTTACCTCACCTTACAAATGTTAAAGTTGTTTCAACGTGAACTCCATTATAATCTATATACAGTTGAAGACCGTGTTTATGTAATCTCTTCTGGGTGGAAAATGGAAACACTTAACTTTTGCGTTGGTCCCTTTTAGGCTTGAACAGCAGTGTTAGGGAAGTTTGGAAGAGAGGCTATCCCTGTATTCAGCCACTCTGATTAGAGATAAGCAACCTGGGAGAAACAGGAGGGGCATACAAGACCTGTGGCTACTAACAGAAGTGGAATAAGCTTCCAGCAGTGGACCGTAGAGATTAATGGAGATTGTTTAGTGGGCCCGTGGCTGGATGGGGTGTTGATACAGCTGAAGTTATGCTGCCCTTGGCACAGACCTTCGAGGATCTCAGACACCTATGCAAACGATAATGTGAAGTAAACAGTGAAAAAAGAGTGATAGCAATCTTGTCTTTAAACATGAGGTGTTTTTTTTTTTTAGTTTTGCTCTTGATAGCCAGAGGTTTCTTTTAACCTTTATTTCCTAAGTAAATATACACACATGCATTCATCTTTGTTGGATCTGTTGTGATTTTTCTCGATGAGCATTTTGGTTTCTTTTATTGGCAAGCACTGGCTTCTATACTTCATATTTATGAATTGTAAATATGAATTTGATGAACCACTAATGAAATAAAAGTAATGGTGTAAAGCCAACTCAAGGGGAATCTGAATCAGCCTCTGAAATGGATTTTAGAAGTGAAGGGAGCTGTGTAGCGGGTTACTGGCTGGACTTATGTGGTAGTTTCTGACGTGGAATTCGGGGCTGCTCTTGGCTTTGGCCTTGATAAGGATCCTTTACAACTGTTCAAAGGACTGTGTGACATAGTTACTGGAAAAAGAACTTGAATTGTGCATTTTATTGGCATTAGTGTAAACGTTAAGCCCTAAGCATGAATGGAAGGAGCCATACCTTTTTTTCTTTTGTGCTGCTGTTGTTATCTAGATGTTTCTCTATAGCAATTAATAGCAAAACCTTTACAATCTTGGTTTTTAAAGATTACCATGTGCCTGAATTACATGGTGTGCTTGTAAAAGGAAGAGTTTTCTGTCTTGCGGAAATTCTGATTTTGGATATCTGTGTATGTCTGTAAAGACCAGATCGTTAGTGTGGACCATACTTTGTGAGAGATGCTTTGAACAGAAAATGCCCATGCCTCCTTTTTTACCCAGCTTAAACTCCATAGTGAGTTCTTAAAATAATTCCTTTGTAGTCTCCCTTAACACCCTGCGGTCTCTTGCTTTGTCATGCTCGCTTGGCAAAACCTCATCTCAGACTAAATGCAATTCTTTGCCTTCTCTGTTCCTGGACCTGTGCTACCAAAACGATCAGGAGGAAGCATACTACCTGCTGCACTGCCACTTTAAATTCATGACCAGTCATTACATGGAGGCCCTTATAGTTTCCCGATGGTCATACTACATTTTTGGAATCCACTTTACTCCTCTGCTTTCCTAGGCCACTACTTTACAGTTCCTCTCTGTCTCTTTTTGAGATGGAATTTTGCACTTGTTGCCCAGGCTGGGTGCAGTGATGCAATCTCGGGTCACTGCCACCTCCAACTTCCTGGTTCAAGTGATTCTCCTGCCTCAGCCTCCTGAGTAGCTGGGATTACAGGCACGTGCCACCACACACAGCTAATTTTTGTAGTTTTTAGTAGAGATGGGGTATCTCCATGTTGGTCAGGCTAGTTTCGAACTCCCGACCTGAGGTGATCCACACACCTCAGCCTCCCAAAGTGCTGGGATTACAGGTGTGAGCCACCGAGCCCAGCTACTTCCTGTCTGTGTAACTTCCAAAACATCCTTCTCAGTTCTCATGCTCGGCTGATGGTTATGTTTCTGCCCTCTGCGGGAGAACAGCAAGCTCCAGAAGGTGGCTGCGCCTTCAGCCCCGTGCCAGAATGAGAACATATGGAGCCAACTTGAGTCCAGAAGAGCTTTGGCCACATCGTCTCGCCCATCTGCTTTTCAGCTTCCAATACCTGACTTTACCACGGTATTCTCAGGCACTTCCAGTAAGCAGTGGCACTGTTTTAAGGTTCTGTCACACTCAGTAACCCACTTCTGGTTCCTAATTCTCTGTCAGTGATCAGTAGCAGACTGCAGAATCCACCTTAGATTAATCCACCTATTAATTAGCTTACAAAATGTCTAAGAGGAACTAAGCTGGGATGCCACATAGGCAGAGGCCAGGAAAAATGACCACAGAACCAAGTGGTTCCAGTGGAAACCCAGCATCTGCTGGTGCCTGCTACTGGACTGCCACCCCCAATGAAGAGAGAGACTGACCACCAGGAAGGTCTTTTCACATACTATATCAAAAATGTTCCTGCAATCACTTTGTTAGGATCTCTGTTTTCAGCTAGGGTGTACGTGCTCAGTGGGAGTTGGTTATATATGTATGTCCAAGTTGCAGGGGATACTGGGATATACAGTTTTTGGATTCTGCCTGGAAAGACAGTCCTAATATGGAGAAGTCTAAAAATAGGGGAGGGATTTTCAAAATATGTTGGGCAGCTGTAAAATATCCGATACCCATTATAGCCATCGAGGGAGACCTGACTGATGGAAGGATGCACTATATTCATGGTAGGAAAGATCAGTTTCACCAAGATTTCGATTTTTATCAAATGAATTTGTAAATTTAAAAGAATATCAAAATTCCAGAGGGGCGTGTGTATAGAGAGGCAGAGGGCACAGTAGCTAACCCAATTTGGAAGAACAAGGTTGGGAGTTTGATGCTACCAGATATTGTATACAGCGATCATCAAAAACAGAACAAAGCAAAAAGCAAACTCCCCGAACCCAATCTTAAAAAAACAAAAACAAAAACAAAAACAACAACAAAAAAAAAAACAAAAAAACTTTACACTGTAATAGTAGTACTATGTTTTTTTGAGATGGAGTCTTGCTGTCACCCAGACAGGAGTGCAGTGGCGTGATCTTGGCTCACTGCAACCTCTTCCTCCTGTGTTCCAGTGATTCTCGCCTCAGCCTCCTGATTAGCTGGGATTACAGGTGAGTGCCATCACGCCCAGCTAATTTTTGCATTTTTAGTAGAGACGTGGTTTTGCCATGTTGGCCAGGCTAGTCTTGAGCTCCTGGCCTGAAGTGATCTGGCTGCCTCAGCCTCCCAAAGTACTGGGATTATGGGTGTGAGCCCCTGCACCTGGCTGTAACATGATTTGTTGAAATTTAAAAAAATCTAAAATAATGTACTGTTTAGGAATATATTCATTTTATACAAAATTATAGAGAAAGCATAGAGAGGCACAGCTGAGAATATATAAAAGGTGTTTCTGTCCCATCCTGTCTCCTTTATTCTGCTACTGCTCTCATTCTATGTCATCCCAGGGGTCCAGGTCCACTTGCTGCCCGCCAGTTGTCTAACACCCTCTACCCTTGCCACCTATTTCTTGGTCTAAAACAGATGTTTGTTTCTAAAATAGAATGAATTAATAATTATCAAAGTACAGGCATACCTCATTTTATTGCACTTCGTTTTATTGTGCTTTCAGATACTACATTGCGAGGCTGCAGTGAGCTGTGATTGTGCCACTGCACTCTAGCCTGTGTGACATAACGAAACTGAGAAAGTGCAGCAGCGTTCTTACTGATAGGGAGGAAGTTTGAGTGGTCTGGATAGCAGATTAGACCAGCCACAAATTCCCTTAAGCCAAAGCGTAATCCAGAGCAAGGCCGTACTTTCCACTGTCTGAAGGCTGAGTGAAGTGAGGAAGCTGCAGAAAAGTTTGAAGCTTTTCAAACTTTTAAGGTTGGTTCATGAGGTTTAAGAAGTTATCATACAAGTGCAAGGTGAGTCAGCAAGTGCTGGTGTAGACACTGTAGCAATTCATCCAGGTCGAGCTAAGTTAATTGATGAAGTGGCTACACTAACCGAGATTTTCAGTGTAGACAAAGCAGCCTTCTTTGGAAGAAGAAACCGTCTAGGGCTTTCCTAGAGGAGACGTTAATGCCTGGCTTAAAAGCATCAAAAGGCAGCTCAAGTCTCTTGTTAGGGGTTTGTGCAGCTGGTAACTTTAGACTAAAGCCAATGCTCATATTTCCTTCTGAAAATCCTAGGGCCCTTAAGGAAAAAGCTAAATTTAAGCCCATTCAAAAGTGGGCAAAGGATATGAACATCCGCTTTACAAAAGAAGACATACAGGAGGCCAACAAACATATGAAAAAATGCTCATCACCACTGGTCATTAGGGACACGCAAATCAAAACCACATTGAGATACCATCTCACCCTAGTTCTAATGGTGATCATTAAAAAATCTGGAAACAACAGATGCTGGAGAGGATGTGGAGAAATAGGAACACTTTTACACTGTTGGTGGGAGTGGAAACTAGTTCAACCATTGTGGAAGACAGTGTGGCGATTCCTCAAGGTTCTTGAAATAGAAATTCCATTTGACCCAGCAATCCCATTGCTGGGTATATATCCAAAGAATTATAAATCGTTCTATTATAAGGACACATGCACATGAATGGTCATTGCAGCACTGTTTACAATAGCAAAGACCTGGAACCAACCCAAATGCCCATTGATGATATACTGGACAGGAAAAATGTGTCACATATACACCATGGAATATTATGCAGCCATCAAAAATGATGAGTTCGTGTCCTTTATAGGGACATGGATGAACCTGGAAACCATCATTCTCAG